GGCATGACTAAACACCGAAAGGTGCACGGAATGGTGTTTCCCTCATGCTTCCTTATTTGATTTCCTGTCATCAGTATTTTAATTTGTATTTTATACCTCGATAACCCTGTTGCGTCCTGCACACTTCCTCTCCATCTTTTTCATTGTAAATTACTACTATTATTATGAATATCTATTGTGTCAACCTTCTGCCAACCTAGCAGTTCGAAAGCAGGTAAAAAATCCAAGTAGAAAAATAGGAACCACCTCTGGTGGGAAGGGAACACCATTCCGTGCACCTTTCGGTGTTTAGTCATGCCAACCACATGACCACGGAGACATCTTCGGACAGAGCTGGCTCTTCGGCTTTGAAACAGAGATGAACACTGCCCCCTAGAGTCGGGAATGACTAGCACATACAGTATGTGCGAGGGGAGCCTTTATCTTTGTTGCTTCAATGTTATACTGGCTTTTATAGAGCCGAGGTGGCGCAGTGGTTAGGGTGCAGTACTGCAGCCCACTTCAGCTGACTGCTAGTTCTGCAGCTCGGCGGTTCAAATCTCACTGGCTCAGGGTTGACTCAGCCTTCCATCCTTCCGAGGTGGGTAAAATGAGGACCCAGATTGTGGGGGCAATAAGCCGACTCTGTAAACCGCTTAGAGAGGGCTGAAAGCCCTATGAAGCGGTATATAAGTCTAACTGCTATTGCTGTTGCTATTTAACATTTGTGAGCCAACCCAGAGTGACCTCTAGGCATAACCGATGGCAAACAAGTCTAACAAACTTAACAAACAAACTGAATAAAATTCTCAAAAAAGATCTTGCCATTTCTTGCAGGTGACAGCGGAGGTATTCCAACCATCGTCAATCATTCAGCCGCGCCAGATGCAATGGTCACTATGCAGAGTCCCAAAAAATCGGGGAAGATCCCACCCAAATTTCAGAACTGTATGGTCCACCGAGTTTGGAAAGAATGCATCCTCAACAGGACACAGTCCAAGTAGGAACACTGGGTTTTCCTTGGATTTGTTTGTTACAAACTGCTTATTTTAATAGCTTGAGTGTGTATGTATGTGTGTTAGAGAGAGAGAGAGAGGGAGAGAAAGAAAGGGAGGGGGAGAGGGATGGAGAGAGAGAGAGAGAGAGAGAATGAAAGAGGGAGAAGGAGGGATGGAGAGAAAAAGAGAGGGAGGGAGAGAGCGAGAACAAGAGAGAATATAAATGGGTGAATACTTTGTATGTCAAACTGAATGACTAATTTGGGGGATCGTGTTGAAGAACGACTGGTCCTACTCTTTACAAGTTTATTGTGAGCCCCACCAAAGTGTCAGAATTTGAAGACTCAGGACTACTCAACTAGGTTCTAGTCAAGTTGATTATTCATTCCTGTACACAACAATCTAGTCAATTAACAGTCAACACTAAATTGGCACTAGGGAATGGAATTCAAGAGGGGTTGGGCCTAAACCGCTTATGGGAATGTAAGGTTTCTAACCTGATTCCTCTCGTGACTCCTTCCCCTGGCTCTGCCTGTCCTACATCAAGCCCATTTAGAAGAAGAAGAGTAAGGGACATATTTAGGCCCTTTGGTTTTAATCTGAGTTGCAACATCCTGGGTTCCTTAAAAGGAATTCTGAGTCATACATAGAATAACGAAATTGCAATTATTATGTGTCTTCTCAGGCCACCCATCAAGTTGGCTCAGTTCAGAGGAGTAGAAGACCTCCAAGGTCCCTTCCAGCTCGGTTATTCAGATTATTGATCCCCGTGGCATTCACTTATACGTTGCAATTTTGCTAAATCTTGCTCTGTTGTTCTTTGATGATTTGTGTCTCGGTTGTATCTCCGATGCGCACAGATAGATACATATATATGAAGTGTGCTTGTTGGTATTGCTAGTGGTGCCTCTGAAGATTCAAGCGGAAAGTATGAACTGTAAATCTTCATTTAGTAATAATATGCAGGTGTGCGAAAAAGCTCAGAAGCTGCTGCACATGAATATAAACTGGGTGCCAATGGTACTACAGAGTGCAGGAAGCCAATTTCTCTTTCAGCCGGGCTTGTAAAAATACATTTTGCAAAAGTGTGGCACATAATATCCGATTTAAGAAAAGAAAAGTTTCATATCTGATTAACAATAGCTTCATTTAGCCTGGGAAGCATTGGTAATTCATTCATTCCCACTTACCGTATTTTTGGGATTATAAGACGCACTTCCCTCCACTAAAAGAGGGTGAAAATTTGGGTGTGTCTTATACACGGAATGTAGCCCCACCCACCCACCAGCCCCTACCCTTGGGCCTCTGCCTCCCAGCAATTTGCCTCCTTGCAGCAAACAGCCAACAGCTTTTCAGTTTTAGCTTCAGCACAACCTGATTAGCACAAACAGCTGATTGTCGGTTGGATCAGCCTCCCGACCATCAGCTGTTTCAGGCTGCAGGGATTGCCTGTTGCCGCCTTTGCATGCCACATTTTCAGCCTCCGCAACCCATTTTTGGCCTCTGTGCCCCCCATTTTCGGCCTATGTGTGCCCTAATTTTGGCCTATGTGTGCCCCATTTTCTGCCCATTCCAATCCCCGCTGCCCAGAACAGGTGGAAAATGGGGCGCATGGAAGCCGAAAACGGGGCATGCTGAGACTGAAAACGGGATACGGAGGCCAAAAATGGGACACGTGGAGGGAGCAATAAGCAATGGCAATCCCTGCAGCCTGAAGCAGCTGATCGTCAGGAGGCTACTGACAATCAGCTGCTTGCACTAATCAGGCTGTGCTGAAACTGAAACTGGCTGTTTGCTGCAAGGAGGCAAATTGCTGAGAGGCAGAGGCAGATTCCCCCCCCCCCTTATTTTCCTCCCCAAAAGCTGGGTGCGGCTTATACTTTGGAGCATCTTGTACTCCAAAAAATACAGTACCTCTTGAGTTTCTACACTCATAAATTAAGGCTTCCTGGCCTGCTGACATGGTTACGTCTGTTTATTTCCTACCAGAAGGAATCCAGTTCCCGCTACCAATATGGAGGAAGAGGCCCCCGCCAACTGTGTTTCTTGGGATTTTGTGGATCCAGCCCAAAGAGTCCTTTGCTCTTGTTCCAGGTCAGTAGAAGGGAGAAAAATCTCAAGAGCATCCACATGGAAGAAAATAGGGTTATGTATGTGAGTTTGGTATAGTGCTGGCCTAGAAACCAGGAGATGGTGAGTTCTAGTCCCACCTTAGTTAGGCATGAACGCTTTCTGGCTGACTTTGGGCCTATGACCAGGAGACGGCGAGTTCTAGTTCCATCTTAGGCCAGAAAGCCAACTGTGAATCCTGTGAGCTCCCAGAATTCCCCAGCCAGCCAACCTTAACCCTAACCCAACTTTGGCACCTTTTAAGACTTGTGGACTTCAAGAATTTCCCCAGCTTCGGGGAAGTCTACATGGCTTAAAATTGCAAAGGTTGAAAAACCATGATCCGAGAAGGATTAAAAAATAAATAAATCACTTGCCAAGGTTGAGAACCACTGCTTTAAAGCCAGAGTGTCCAATTTTAAAGACTTGTAGGTATCAACTCTCAAAATTCCTAACTGGGGAATTCTGGGAGTTGAACCAGGGGTGAAATCCAGCAGGTTCTGACAGGTTCTGGAGAATCGGTAGTGGAAATTTTGAGTAGTTCGGAGAACTGGCAAATGCCGCCTCTGGCTGGCCTCAGAGTGGGGGGGGGATGGGGATGTTGCAGTATCCTTCTCCTGCCATGCCCACCAAGCCACACCCACAGAACCTGTAGTAAAAAAAATTGAATTTCACCACTGAGTTGAAGTCCACAGGTATTAAAGTTGCCAAGGTTGGACATCCATAAGAGCCCATTTGGTAAATCAATCCATCCTTCCTTCCTTCCTTCCTTCCTT